TTAGAAGACCAATATCATTTTGTATATAGAAGTTTAAGGTAGCTACAAGACGCAGTGGCTTGTCTGGTGCATTCAGTGTTACCGACACTACATACGTGTCTGTTGCTTCGGCTACAGCAACGCTTTCGGTTGTGTTAACCGTCGATCACTGTTGCGCACTTTTGGAATTTAAACTTTCCTAGTCTTCTATTAAAGGGATTATTTCGCCAAAGGAACTCAGGGCACCATGTTTTACGGGAGAAGCGCCTAACCACAACTTCCGGTACTTTTCAAGTGGTTATTTTGTCATCATTCTTATTCTCTACTTACGTTAGCTCCATACCTGTCCCCAACGAAACCGTTTTCGGTGAAATATGCTGATGACGTAATAGTCGGCATAAATCATTCAACCCCAACCTCTTCAAGCAAGATTCTAACTTCTTTGAGCAAACTAGTGCAATGGTCGAAATTCAGCTGCCTGCTTCTAAACGCATCCAAATGCAATGATTTCCTGATATCACTTCATGCAGCAGCTCGTTACCAGAAATTTGTCACGGACTGCCCCCAACTGCACGTCGATGGAGAAGGGTTGTGCTTTTCCATGTCAGTAAAGGGAGCTAAGGGTACTTTCCATGTGAATTCATCAAAGTCAGGACACTGGTTTTATGTTTCTCGACTGCTCCCATTCTCTGTCTCCTACAGTTTGATTATGAGGTTCATCCCAGCGTGTATTCCGTCACGCTGCACTTACTGTTCTCCTGTTGTAGCAAGAACGAAGCGGCAACGCGACAACGGTTAACTAGGCTCACACGCAATCATACACATAGGTCATGTTTCCATCCCACAACGCACAACACTTAGAAATTGACTACGTGTCATATTCGCGCATTGTTTCATCCCAACTTGGTGAATCTATTCCGTCTGTTAGATCTGGTATCTTCGCTTCCGTAAATCGTATTCTAACCAGCTCGTGCTTGTTCTAAGGTTCTTGATTTATTTGTTCGCTGTTGCATTGCCGTGCTTTGGCTTAGTCTTGGATGCACCGACAAAAGCGTTTCTGTCTTAGTTCAGATCAATACCTTCTCCTTTCTCACTGACTCAACCTCTCGACCATTCGTCGCTCTCAGCTCGTTCCTATTCACTCGGTTGCGGTAGTGACCTCGCTGAGGAGGTTAGCAACTACCCAGATAAGTAAACCGAACAACCATTTCGAGTGGTTGTCCCAAGCGATATGTGTAATGGTTTCTCCAGTGTTTTGGTCACGTGAGGTGAAATGACTACATTATCCCAGTAAACCAATCCATTAGTTTCAATGTCTTAATGAGCATGTGGAAAACAGGTAGCCTGGCAGTCAAGTTCTGTAAAAGAAGTGCACTTTGAATACACAGAACATATGTGAAAACATATAGAACCCTGCGTCAGTTACGGCATAGTCGCTCGTGTAGGGAATGGATCATGAGAAATCGTTATCATCCGCTTGCTCAGAAGATGCCAGCCGACCAATCAGTATAATTACTGTCCCACCCCATGGGTCACGCTGAACGCAGGGAAAGCTTCTCCGAGACTGTTCCACGGCTCCTCAGGTACACAGTCACTATCGTAAAATAGGGACGATCATGTCTGACAGCCTCTCCACAGTTTGAGTGTCACAAGCTGATGGCGGCATCAGACCAAGAAAGACAATTAGGATGTGATATGATGTTGAGGGTCATTTTGAAGTACACGTTGTGTGGATGGATTGCGAGGCGCAATATCAATGTCGACCGCGATTCCCATTGAAGTGAACCTTGGTCTTTTGATCAAGAGGACCGTAGCTGATGTAAATAAAAATTGGGTGTTGCCCGCCCGAAAACACTGCAATGTTTTCGGGTGGGCAATACACAATTTCCATGGTGTGATACGAAAGTGTGCTTGTGTGTGTGTGTGTGTGTGTGTGTGTGTGTGTGTGTGTAGACGTCATTCATACCCCTGGAAAGTGTGAAACTGTGATCAGTGCATTATATCCAGGTGGAAGTAGGCACAGCTTTCGCCCATCCGGCTTAATTGAAGACCAGAGTGAGGTCGTAGTACCGTGCTTTTGAGCCGGTGTGCGACAACAGAAACATGGATATTACCACAACATTCAAGCGGTGTTTTATGACGTTTATAAGGATGGGCGTGCTCGTCAACGTCTGCCAAGCGAAATGTATTTGAGTGAGGTATATTGTGTCCAGGAGAGCTGCTGTGTCAAGATTCGAGTTACCACCACCTTCCAGTAACGGTGGAGTGACATAGCGCAGCCTGGGCATCTTGCCTTAATTCAGAAGTACGGGCTCGTGTTAGACTACTTCGAAGGTTGAATGCAAGATATCAGTACCTCGGACTGATTAAGATGATACGATGGTAATGTAGCGGTTATGATCTATCGCCTCAAATCGCCCTGCAGTTGTTCAATTTAGCATGCTTATCAGCATACCAAATATGCAACATTCTAGGCGACCTTTGCTCTCTGGAGATTTGCATGGACTTGCAGCTAGGGTGAGTTGGGAGAACGACTCGTTAGTTTAAAGCTCCGGTCTAAGCGCATCAAAAGCACACACCTCACCTACCAACGTTATCCGTTGGTAGTGAGGTGTAAGAACAGCCGCAGCTAAGAATACCGAGAATTCTCTGAAACTGACTTCTTCATGGAACCGTATTCCTCTATTGTCAAACCAGTATTATTGAGCGTTCTGGAAAGCTTCCTCTTGCAGGCAAACAGGCGACTGTCTTAGAATATGCTGATGATATTCCCTTGATAGGTGACGAGCCCCAAAGTATGAAGCTCATGTTAAAGCGCTTGGCGATTGAAGCAACTAATCATGACATGACCAATGCTATTCCGAAATATAAAATTCTACTCCAGAATTAGCGTCCATATGCTCCAGTGCACACTATTACAGGCAAGGAGCATGAACGAATGGACAACTTCGTCTAACTGAAGCGCTGCGTTTCGATTGAAGGCACCAGTGGAAGTGAGACGTCTGTTCGTATTGCCAAAGCCCGATCAACATTCCAGAATCTGAGGCATCTGTATCGTCATCAAAACGTTTCACTCTCGGTTAAGGGGAGAGTTTATAATGCATGTGTTCGCGCTGTGCTGTTGTAAAAAGTGATACGCGTCAGACTCTGGTCTTTAACAAGGGTTGTCTACGGAGGATAGCTCGTGTGTGGTAGGAACACCAGGTTTGCAATGACGATGTTGGAAGTCGCGTTTTAGGTAATACGTGCCCTTCTCTCGGCGATTTAGTGCCACGGTGAGAGAAAAGATAGCTAGGTCACGTGCTACGCATGCTGCGCGAGTGATCACCACGACGTCTTTTATTGGCTCACGCAGAACGGCACTGAAAGAAACTGTGCGGTGGTCCGCCTACCACACGGCGACAAAACGTCACAGCGCTCACTTCCAGTTCAGCTATCGTTGGTGCCGTGTTCTTTGGGCTGAGGATCCAAAGATGAAGAAAACCGCAAACTCGAAACCCTTGAGCACATGCCACGCAATTTGGCTCAATGGACGATATGCAGAAACTTATGCAATGATTTGACTGATAAACAAAACTGAGGACAAACCGCTTTGTAGAACATAGCTAAATGACTTCCTGTCTGTCCCCCTCGTGATGATGGCTTTGTGAACAGATCACAAACTGATGCTTATAAATATATAAATATATAGGTAAAACCGAAACCTCAGAAATAAAACTTGTATTCAGACACTAAGTTTGGAAACCAGAAGCTTCAGAGACCTTCTTTGTGATGCAGTAGAAGCAAGACTAGTGAGCACTCAACTCGGCCTGACAGTGATCTTGCGGAGAATCTGCCCATATAATGATTGGCATACAACCGTTTTGATAACGCCGGATGTGTGCACTTTATGCAGGCGCGTGTTTGGAAATAATGTGAATCAGGATAGGAGACCCAGACCGACCGACTTCCTCGCACTAAAGTACCCCATCTGTAACTGGTACTTGTGTCTTCGACTTTCGTCATTAGAGCAGAGTTGGTGTTACGGTTATCCTAGTTGAAAGTTTTACATGTTCGTGTTATGTTCAATAGCTGCTTGTGGACAAACGATCTAACCGTAGCAGTTTCCATCCCGTCCAAGGAGTTTCTGATAACGCACTGATCCCTGACGCGTTCCAAATCTCAGATGATCGTGTGAGGAAAAAGGACCCGCAAAGGAAAGTACACTTACCTTCCGCTCGTCATGATAGCCATAGAACTGCTGGCCATGAGTTCGCGAGCAGTTTCATCATGAAATGGCTTACAACCAAAGCGCTGCGATGTATAAGTCTGGAATACATGTTCCTACTCCAAACTCACCGATGTAATCCGTGAGTCACGTGCCCTAGAAATGCGTGTATACTGAAACGACTGCGGCTGGCACCCGCACGCGTCCGCATCATACCCTAGAATTAGCGTTGAGTATGGAGAAAGTGGATGGAGACGTAGGTTGCGCAGCGCAGTGCAAGCTTCCCGTGTTTTTCAGTTAAAGTGACAGGCCACTCTGGAAATGGATGCAGACGACCGCAGCTAATATGAATCACAAAGACTGGTGGCCACTCCGTGCTTAGGACTTCTGCCTAGTTAGATGCTGAATTCCAACAAAGATAACTCGATCACGGATGGGTCTGATTTCTTTGCAAAGAAACTCAGTGCATGAATGATGTATGCAGAACAAGAAGAGAAAAGGTTCCCGATCTGAACGAACACCTAGCAGTCTGTGCCGCCGGCTCATGCTACAGCGATCATGATGAAGTAACTGGTGGAAGGACCGGTCTGAGTCCCAAGAGATTTTAGGATGGTAGAGTTCAAAGTGCTAAACGTATATAGTTGAAAGTCGAGGGTGCTTGCATATAATGAATTTCTGCGGATAGCACAATAATCATCGGCTTAATTAAAGACAGTTGGTGGCGACGGACGCGTGATCCAAGGCTGCAGTGGATCTCAGAGTTTCGGTAGATATAACAAAAATAGGCATTGAAGATAGAAAACCCGGAACTCACCGGATCTAACTTAAGATCTGGGGCGTTATGTCGCAGTCGATAAACGTTGTGCGCTCGTGTTACTGATTCCGCGAAGTCGTCAGCCCCATCGGTCGACTGGCGTGAATCCACTGTTCGCTGCAACTGCAAAAGACAAGAGCAGCCGTGAATGCCAACAGTTCCGACGACTAAGTTTGATCATGCCTGATAAGGCGTGCCTCGTTGCCATCGAGAATAAACTATTTATTTATTTATTTACTAAATTACACCCAAAGTGTCTACAAGCACTAGCAAGTGGATGGCAGTTTAGATTGCTGTGAATGAATAACGATTAGCACAGTTAAAGTTTTGAAGAAACCTGACGCTACATTTCAGTTAAGCGGTGTTCTATCACAGTGTTTGCTACCAATGGAAATAGTAAAGTATCAGTCCAAGTGTACAGGGCTATTTACCGTCTTAACAATCGGATGATGAACACAAAGGGCTTCGCCGAGGTGCAAGTAGGCGGACAATGATTGAAGTTAGTAAAGTAGCTGAGGAGCGTGCCAATTGTCAGAGTAACGTTATCTAACATTACGATCAGCCGTCTAGAAGCTGACAAACAAGATCTGATAAAAAATTTAGCAACGACATTAGTTATCATATGTGAACAAGCATTTGCGTGGAGATGAGAGCGCCGGGATTCGAGAATCACTTATAAGAAATCTTCAAAACTGTGCCGCAGGGCGTGACTGAACTTCAGTGGCAGTTAATGAGAGATGAGAGCCTAATTTGAAGCTCTACACAGTGAAACAAGGCACAATACGACGGAAGCGCCTGCATCATTGTGGCCCTCCTACATTTATCGAATTCCAAAGACCAAATTTCACCACACACACTCCTGCGCTTGTACTCATCCGATCTGGATGGGTTAGCTGTATTCGTCACCCTAAAAACGCCTGGATCTAACCAGGGAATATCATATCTGATAACAGAGTTCTGGTTGGCACCACAGCAGAACTCACGCGCACAGCTCTACTTCGTTTGATCTGTACAAGGCTATTTGTAGTGTAACTAGAAAAACGGCTTTCGGCAATGCTAAAAAACCATAGTGCAGCCCGGCAGATTGAAATATAAGGCTGATGCAAGCACAGTACTGCTCCCTACGCTTAAAATGCATTTTCCGTATATTACCGAATATGAGCCGATGAATTTTGGACAATTTTTCATTTCTTCAGTGGGGAGTTGGCTTATGAAAAGGTTATACGCAATTTGAAAGCAAAATGCAATTCCATCCAGAAATGCACTGCACAGCTCTGCTCCTATCTCCCCTTAGCATCAACCGCTAGTGACGGACGGTATTCCAGACAGAGACTTAAGTGCCTCATTTTGCATACGGTGTTTACGCAACATTGCAGGCAGAGTGCCTTTAACTAGACACTTTATTTTTGTGGCAAAAAATTCTCGGCATTTTGCACATAAGACGTTCGCGACGGATGACAATAGGAGAAACATACGGAATGAAATCACATTCCCTCCTAGATGAAGATCATGTGACGTCGCGTTAGCGATATTTTGGGTAGCGAATCAAAGGCGCTTATACATCACGGTCATCATAACTGACCAATAGGATTCGCTTGAATACACTCAAGTGAGAACAGATGTTGAGGACATAAAAATTTTGGAGACAATGTTTCGTTTCTCTGCATGCTGATTTCTTTTTGGTGTAGCTAACACAGGGACTTATGATTATGGACAAATTTGATAATGCAGTTATACTCTCGGCCCATCCATGGACAGGATTATATTCGGTAATATAGGGTAGTTGTATCAGATGGACGGTGGAATCTAAACATTAGCCTAGACCAATGCTCCTAAGACGTGTTGGGGAGTCGTGCAACGCTAAACTTCTCACCGCTGCGAATATGTTGTACCCATGTAGGCGATGCATTTCGATTAATCCACTAATTGCATTTACGCTAATGGCGCAGCGCTCGGTAGATCAAGAACCGCTCATTCAATGTAAGTAAACGTTATCGCAATCGCCTCAACATTAGCCACCGGGAACTACCATTATTCCTGGAATGCAAAATGAGAAGGGCAAGTGTAGGGCCTAAAATGTATTATGGCGCTTCAGCACATAGGATGCAGCGTTTACCTAAGGCTGTGCAGAACTTTCATAGTATACAAACTCAATGCGTGTTCGTCGTCTGAACTACACCAGGACCACTGCAGGCATGGCTACAACATTACGGTTGCAATGAGAGGGGCTGAGATGTTACTCAACACCATGGAGTGTAAAGTGAATTTACCAACAGAGTCAAACAAGCGTAATAAACACGACGAACATATGAAGAACATGTAGCCCTACAGACAAGCTGCAAAGCCAGTGAGATTCTCAAAATACTGCATCGTAAAACCAGTGACCGCTCTCCAGTGATTACTGAAAATGTTGAAGGTGAGGGTCGCTTAATCCATGACTCAGCTGAAATCTGTGAATTATTCAGTGACGTTTGGCCACTACCATGAGTCGCGAAGCTCACCCTGTGCCTGTGTGCACAGAGCTTACAGTAACAAACCACTTAAGCAGAGTCGATATCTCGCTCCACGGTATCCACCAAGTTATCAAATCAATCAGACCATCTTCAGGGCTGGGATCTGTTGGTATTTGGAAAAAAACCCATTAAACTAGGAGGGCCTGATATACCACTGCTACTGACGAGCATGTCCAATGTATCGCTGGAATCTGGACACTTCCCAAACCAATGGAAAACGTCATTTATTATGCCTCGGCATAAAGGAAGTCCCAAACAAACGATTAATAACTACAGAACAATCCACCACACCCCGATAATCGCTGGGCTATTTGAAAAGCTGGTCAGAAAGGAGATGGTGAACTTTATTAATTCTATTGGCTGATCAATAATTCGCAGCATGCTTTTGTTAACAAACGGTCGTGCACCAGCTGTCAATTGCGTTACCTTAAACAGATTTATGAATCAATCGATTCCGGCAATGCAGTAATAATCCTGTTTCTTGATATACACCAAGCATTCGACGGAGTACCTCAAAAGCGACTGTTACAAAAGTTGGAGAACTTTGGGATCCGGGACCCATTACTAAGTTGGCTATCGTCATACCTGAGTGGTCGTCATCAGGTAGTCACTTTAGGTGACTATAACTCTTCTCCACGCAGAAGTTGAAATCACCCAGATGTGTTGTGTCGAAACAGCCGGTATTGCTTCAGAGGTGAATACTAAATTAGTGGATGTACAGACCTAGCTGATCTTGCTTAAACAAAAGGTCCCTTTTCGGGCCACTGGCACAACATCTGAACTCACTGTCATACATATTGGAGACTGCTCGTAATCCCTATCCGCCGCACACATAACATGCAAGTGACTTAATACAATAGCCGTAGAAATATAACGGATAGTCAGATCGTAAAATTCAGATCATCCTTAAGATCCCAAAGAGATACCCATTGAACTCCGTGAAGCGCACTCTAATTAAGGCTCGCAGAATAACAGAAATGGACTGCAGCGTAGTATGGCTTCACACTAAGCCTCAAAATAGCTGTCGTGAACATCATCAAAATCATTAGACACGTTAGTTAGGTGGGAAACACCTCAGCTATGGTGCAGCAACAAACGGGAAAGGGAAAATGACGCAACACAGGCACGCCAACTGAGCAAGAAGTAACGGATGGACATGGTTCCATAGTGCCACAAAAAATTGTTAGATTGTGCGTAAGAAGTGAGATCGCGGTTCGAGGTGAATGCTAAGCAAGAGAGGAAGAGGAAAATGAACTCAAAACACTAACACCACTGAGCTCGATTCCTAACAATGTCAACAAGTGTATACAACAAACCGTGTTGGTCCTATTTCAGACCCAAGCCCGGCAGTCGGGAAACACTAACCGATGCCAAGTTCGAAGTGATGGATATCATTCTTCTTGACCAAGTCATTGCTTGGCTTCCCCTCTTATTATTCCATATGAGTCCCGGCAGCGCAAACAGCGTACATCGTAGCAATCGGTGTGCTGGGGTGCGCACATGTGACCAAGTCATCGAAGCCTGGCGCGTGAAATAACGGTAATGAGCGGTTCACTTTCTCTTCTTGTGCCACAAACAAGACGCCGAACACGTTGGTTGATTATTCGGTGTCCACACCAGATATGAAACAAACTGCGAAGGCGCCGGTGGTCGAACATAACATCCCTCTTTACGTCTGCGAATGTAATGGGCTAGGTTTCACAGCCATACAGTGGTGCCGAAAGCACGGTTGCATTGTAAACTCTACCATCCAATAATGTCGCGCTGACAACATAAGTGGCAAAGGTTATCAAAAGCGCCTCAAGCTTTTCCCATAGCATTTGTGACTTCGTCTTCGATTCCATGGGCGCTGATACCACTGCCCAGATAGTTGAATTTCTGAAGAACCTATGGCTGATAACAACCAAGAGTCAGCGCAGTAGGTGGTCCCTGTCAATCTTAGAGGAACGTTTTGCACTTTGAGGGTGCAAATCGCTGGAGAGATTGAAGGGTAGCAACAGTTTGCCACAAGCCGTTACTCTGCCCGAGCTACGCGTGCACGGCACTCTAATAATGTTCACGTATATGTTTAGTCACACCTTTCCTAAGTACACAGTCCCGAAGGATGAGAATCAGCTGGCTTTCCATTTCCAGCTTCCATGGGACACGAAAGGTTCTAGTTACGCAAGATCAAGTAACAGCAGAAAGCAGGAGTGATCAAAAGAACGATGATGACGAGGGGTTGGCTTTCTGTTATCAGCTCCAATGTGGAAATAAAAGCTTCCAGGTATGCACGGCCCAGTAAAGTAAAAAGGTAACGTTAGGTAACATTATTCGATATATATCATTTGTTATTCTCATTCCAAGTGATGGATTGTTGTTTGACATCCCCGGTGTGGCTGCGCTTGATGTGCACGTTGCCAATATGCCAATCTGTCTATTACCCACTAAATCGTTCAGGCTCCAGGAGACAGTTGGTCGTTGCTGGAGGGGACGGGGTGCACGGTCCTTGTGGCCGTGCTGGGCTCGAAGATTGGTTCCATGCACTCAGTGTGGAGCGGACTACGGTCCAGCCACCGCCTTGTGTGCGGTTGATTCCCCAAATACAGCGTGCTTGTGTTTGCCTGTGAA